ATTTTCCAGAAAAGGTTATATTGGGTGGGGGAAAAATACAGTTTTTAAACAAAGCAGTGATTCATAATCGAGTCTTTCTGATATAAAATGCCTATCAAGTGTGGTCTCTTTTTCCTCTGCCACGGTCACTGCCTTTTTTTCAGGGTGTTCAGGTCTCTTATCTGCTTATTGACATGGCTTTCTGATTGGTCTCTCTACTTCCACCATTTTCTCACTCCATTTCCTTCACAATTAGGATTGTCTTCCTGAAAGAATTAAGCTGAATACATTAAAATCAGAACCCCTTAGTTTTGGTCCTAGTTTCTTGTTTCATTTCATTTTCTGCTTCTTATTCACTATGTATCCTTTGCTTGTATCAACCTGAACTTTTTCTTGTCCTTAGAGTGTGGGAGAAACTTTCATAAGCGTCTCTGCTAACCTGAATGGAAAAAGGAAAAGGCATTTTATGTAAATTAGAAAAAGGTGCTCCTCTCTCAAATTCTTTTACTACTATGTATTTGAAAATTGTTTTAATAAATATTAAAATCTTTAGTGACCATGAAGTAAGTTATTTGGGCAGTAATGTATGTGTAGTAACGCATGGCATCCCTGTATTTTCTTTTTTTTTGCTTTTCGAAACCTATTTTCTGCTTTGGCAAATTCATACTCTTTTTTTTTTTTTCTTTTCAAATCCCAGCTCAAAACTCATACCTTTTTCTCAATTGTAGCTGGAGATGTTTGCTTTATTCTCATAGCACTTGGTTTATATCTCGTTCTACTTTGCATTCATGCATACTTTTATTTTATCTCTTCCTCTCTTATTAAACTGAATTCCTTAAAAACAGTTATCTTTAATTATTTCTATATTTCTGGCTCCTAACACAGTGCTGGACATAAAGGGAGAATAATGAATTTCAAGGGAAGGAAATGTTGAAATTGAACATTTAATATTTCAGATCATATCTCTCCTAAGTCTGACCTTATTCTATGGATATAGATAATATGCAATAAATTTATGATAATTAGAAGTTAGTGTTATTCTGGACAAGATGTATGGTTTAAGTGCAGTACTTATTTCTGAGCCACATCTTATATAATTAGTTGCCTTCTCTATTTCAGATATAGGATCTTCTTCATTATTATATATCTCCCAGGTAGGCAGCACGAGTTATCGCCTAATAGTCAAATACTTTTGGGATTTATAATTTGGTACAGACAGTACATATTCCAATTATCCTTTTAGGTAATATGAGCTGATGTCTATTTGGATGCTGAATTCTTTGTCTAGCCTTTGCTGATCCAGATTTAGCAGGTTAAATTGAATTTTCTTAACTCATATTTCAGATATTTCCGGGGAGGGGGGTTCCATTAGGCTGGAAACAGTTTCTACTTTAATATCTAACTGGGTTTACTTAAGGGTTTTAGAAGAAAGTGTCAAGTCTATATTTTACTCAAGTCCTCCATCATTATTACCCTATACTTCACAATGATTTTAAACTTCATTAGAAAGAACAGATCTTTAAAAATCTTCACCTATGACAGTATTTGTTGCTATAGATTTGGTATATGAAAATTTGCTTCTTTTAAATAAGTTAGTCTTACTATTTGTTTTTGATAACTTTCACCTATTTTATATTTTAAAATATTTTTTACATGTTTAGAAACTTTTATTTGGTAACTAATGTTTGCATTAATTTATATTGGATTTATTCAGGGAAAGA